CCAGGGCCTGGATCATGCTAGGGAAGGACTCTACCACTGGGTTATATGCCCAGACCTTTTTATTTTATGTCAAGACAGGGTCTTATGAAGCTGCCAGCCTATCCTTGAACTTGTAATCCTTCTACCTCAGGCTCCTTAGTAGCTGGGATTACAGGTGTGTGCCACCACAGTTGATTTCAATGGTACAATATTCTGATTCCTTTTCCTACATAGGGCTTGTACCCATTGCCCCAAGACCACCCAGACCATCTCTCACCCAGAGCAGCTTCCATGACCCGGCTACCCCAGGCAGTCCACACTGCCCCCAGCTTAGCTTTACTACACCATCAGTCTTCCCAGCACTCATACTGATGGCCACACTGCCTGAGTGGGGAGAGATGGCAGGTGGGCAGGGAAGAAGGGGGAAAGTAGCTCCTGGAGCCACTCCTCCTAAACACACCATCTGCATTCTCCCATCCCAGGCTTCTCAGGCTGCTGTGGCCTAGGGTGATGTATGTGTGTGTGTGCTTGCTGGTGTCCACGCATCTCTCCCTCTGTCACTGGCTTGCTTGCTCTCCTGCCCACACTTTCTGCTTCAGGAGCTGTTTGGCAGCCTCGGAGAGGCTACTGGAAGGAATCCAGTTCTCCCGAGGAAGAAGGCATAAACTTCATAAACTGCATTTACTTTAATGCAGGTTCCTGAGGCTGCTTTCCTCCAGCTTGTCTTCCCTCCCCTGTCTACTACATCTCCATCACATTCTATCCCCGACCCTGTGTGCACCCAGATTACGTGCTATAGCCAGACCTCTTGAAAAGACGAAACCTGGGGCAGAGAAGGGGTATGAGCTCCACTCATAGGAGAACTCTCACGGCACTCCTGGACAGGCCCCAGGGGATGCCTACACCCTGTCTCCAGTGGAGATGAGCACAAAGGGTGCTTTGAAGCAAGCAGGCAGCCTCAGGGAGGGAGGGGATGCTGACATTTCTTGGGGATGGCCAAATGAGGAGCCACCTGGAGGCTGGGCCACAGGCTTTCAAGAAAGGAAGGGAGAGAAGGCAGGGCCTCTGCCAGGTTGAGGTTTGTGAGGCCTCTCTTGTCTGCTGCTGTCAAGGTCAGCAGGTTCGGGTTCACCGAAGGGTCAGGATGGTTTGAATTACTGGCTCTGCTGCAACTCGGGCTCTGAGGCTCGTGACTATCTTCCAGCCCCTGCACCAGGCCCCACCCTCCCCCAACCCTCCTGGCCTTTCTACCCCCACAGGGCAGAGTGAGAGGGTCCCAAAGAGCCCGAAGGCCTGAGGAAGGCAGGGTGGGAAGGGGTCCTTCTCTGGGCTCAGTGGTTCAGGAGCCTGCCAGGACCCATTCCTTTGGTGGGCGTGATCCTGGGGTCTCCCTTCCCCTTTATTATCTTCAAACCCATTTTCCGAGGGGTCCTCATGCCAGCTGCCTGCCCTTCTCACTGCCCACTGGTCCGCAGAGGAGGAGGTGCTCTGGGAGGCAAGCCCGCAAGCAGGAGGGCCTGGGGGACAGCCCTGCGCCTGGCTCCTCCCTCCTGCGTGCACAGCCTGCTCTGGGGGAGAAGGGCAGAGCTGAGGCAGCGGATTTCTCGCTTGGTGCCCTTGCCAGGAGGGGAAAGGAGAATGATGCCTACCTGCAGGGCTGGAAGGCAGTTGCCAAGGGATGACCAAGAGTTGAAGACAGATTCTAACACGATGGGTGCTCATGAGAGGGTGCAAACAGGGCAGGGGGTGGAGAACCTCCTGGCCTTTGCTGAGGAATTTGTAATACCCGTGTTGAACCTGCCCAAATGTCTGGGGGTGGAGGGACACATGTAGCCCCCTCTACAACAAATCTGTGCATTTTTTCCTAGGGATGGTCCACCTATCTATTCTGACTTCTGGCACTATATGAAAAAATATATGCTCATTTGTACTAAACCTCAAAATACTTCCTCAAACAACCTACTCTTTATCCATAGTAGTATGAACTAGTTGGGAAACAAAGGTAGTTAATAATTTGATTGATCTCTGGTATAAATTCATGAACCTGTCAGTCTCACACAGCCATGGCTAAACCTGGGTACTTACCCACAGAAAAATACAGTCACCTGCATACAGGGCCCTCAGTAAAAGTCTTAATAGAACATCAACATAACCTCCAAAAGCATTCTACATCTACCTCTGTAGAGTGACATAGTGTGTTCAACAGGCTCATGGCCAATATTACCCAGAGAGTTTGGCTAAAATATGTGATTCAACTAAGATAGGAAAATCCCCCTCTCAGGTATGACCAGTCGAATTTCCCTGGTTACTATAAAGATATACTCATGACCACAAATGTGTTCATAAGTGGGTTTCTTTTTCTGGTGTCTTAGTGAATGTTGACCTTTGAACCTTAACTTTTTCTTGAACTGGAGTAGATGTTAGCCAGGTTTATAATATTAGTTGGAAAATGAAAATAGGCTGAGCTTTGTTAATGCAGTTAAATTCAGGAGCTTGTTTAGATAGATGGTTCCCTTTGTGTAGCTTTCCTTTCTGGACTTTCATAGGACCTGTCACATAGGGGCAGGGTCTGTGACATGTGCTAGGCAGTACAGAACATGTGAAGACATATAATCCTAACAGTAATTCATAAGGCATCTTAGTCCCCACTTATCCAAAATTTTACTTTTCAAAGTTTCAGTTACCTGCAGTCAAGTATAGTCTATTAAATGGAAAATTCCAGAAATACACAATTCATAAGTTTTAAATTGCATGCCTTTCTGAGTAGCATGATGAAATACTGGGCAGCCCCCTCTGTCCCACCTGGTATATGAATCATCCTTTTGTTTGGCATATCTATGCTGTACCTGTTAGTCACTTAGTAGCCATCTCAGTTATCAGATTAACTGTCATGGTATCAATGTATGGCTACAATTATTCTATTTTATTATTAGTTGTTGTTAATCTCTTACTGAGCCTTATCTATAAATTAAACTTTGTCCTGTGTATATATAGAGAAAAAACAAAGTATGTGTAGGACTGGGTACTAACCTTGGTTTCAAGTACTCACTGTGGATCCTGAAACATATCTAGTGGATAAAGGGGGGCTGCTGTGTTCTCTAAGAAGGAAATCAGCTGTGTGTGTGTGTGTGTGTGTGTGTGTGTGTATTAGGCAGTAAACAGACATATTCGTGTCCAAGTGCTGGGTTTAGGTTAAGAAATCAGTGCAACCTCATTTTGTTTACCCAATACAGTGCAACCTCATCATGTCTCCTGGGCCCTCCTCAGCAACCTCTCAGCTCCTTCAAGCTGAATCCCATCCCACTAAAATAGTGCAGACTCAGCAAAACTTCCCCAAGCTCTTCTCATTCAGGGTGAGCTCAGGTCTTTCTCTGGTTCCACCAGCTCCCTGCACTGGGACCAAAGGCCACCAGGAGTTTAGGTTAGTGTTGTAGCCTCTGTTTCTAAATGCCCACTCCATGCCTTGCCCTCTCAGTTCAGAGCAGGCTCACCTACCAAGCAGGGCTCACCTGCACACTTCCCCCACCAGCCTTGGCCAACACAGCAAGCTGTGCCCAAAGACCCAGGGCCCCCCAGGTGGCAGGGCAGTGGCAGATTTTCCTCTTCCCTGGGGTCTCCTCACCTGCCTTTTCTGATACCAACTCTCCTCCCACTGCTCCTCCAAGGGAGAGCTGGGAAGACAGCTTGGTGACCAGGGCATGCCTGGTTTCCATTAATGAGATACACCAAGCGCAAGCCAGCCATGGAGGCAGCCTACAAAAGGAGGCGATCGGGCGGCCAGGAGCCGAGCTGCTCAGGTAATTGGTTTATCTATCTGGAAGCAGGGGGAGCAATCTCAGCACAGACAGACTAGCAGTAAAGTCTCTTCCTTAAGGCTATTTCCTTTGTCTTTTCAATTGCTTGCACATCCATGTGAGAGAGGGAGAGAGTGTTAAAGAGAGAGGGAGAGGGAGAAATGTTAATTTGTGAATTAATGGCTTTTCTCAGCGGAATTGTAAATTCAAATGTCACCTCACACGGTGACACCACGGCTGGTCTGCTGAAGAAGCAATGATAAGATCCCCCACCTCCCTTGGTGCCCCTCCCTCCCCAAAGATAGCTGTGGAGTGGAACATGCTACTTTTAATTTGCAATAACAACACAACAGAGGTATGCAGTAATGACTGCCTGCTTCCACCCTCCTCCTGGCTTCCTGCCCCCCAGTCCAGGTGGCTCCCCCATTTCCTCTCTCCCCAACCCCTTTTGAGACAACACCTCACCTCACCCTGGCTGCCCCCCACCCCACCCAGCCAGTGTCTGATCACATGGGGGGTGCCTTTGGAATTGACAATGCTGCAACCCTCTCTTCTCCTTCAATAATCAGGGAATTAATGACCCTGAAGTTAAAGTGAGGCTGATACTGAGGCCCTGCCCAGCGTTGGGAAAAAGCCTTCATTGTTTTCAAGCAGGAGGCGGGCAGCAGTGAGGGAGATTCATGGATGGAGATTGAATATGCAATTTTCTTTCACCTTGCCAAGAGCTGCCCCTGGGCTGTGCCTGGCCTAAATTTTTCCTTTTACCATCTCTGCCTTATCCGGCCCTCCCACCTCCCTTCCATTCTTTCCAGAAAATTACCTTCAAAATTGATTTCCACTTTTACAAACAAATATAATGGGAACACAGGAAAAAACTTGGGCCGTGATGAATTAGGGCTGTCAGGTGCTTCCAGGTCTCCTTTGCTTTTGTTTTACTACCCGATCTGCTCTTTGTTTTTCCAAGGGCTGGAAAAACTGCCCCCCATGCACTGAGCGCCTGACCCTCCAGGCCACCAGGGCCTCAGTCCTACACCCCCTCAGTGGCCCACGGCGGAAGCCGATCCAGGCCCTGAAACTCTGTTAGCCTCTTAGGTGCCCAGTGGAAGCCTGAGCAGCTGCCTCTTTTCTGTTCTCTGCCCTTAGGAACCCACTTTCTCAATGTTCTTTAACCACCGCCCCCAGCTATTTCCCTTGACCCCCACACCATGTTCCCTCTGGCCCTCATACCTCTTAAAGTCCAGACCAGATGCAAACCTCCACCTCCTCTAATGTGGGCAGGATCAGTGTATACCTCGACTAGAGCAAATAAGAGACAAACACTGAGAGATCTTGAAAGACAGGCAGGTAGAAGATTGGGGGCCATTCCCTGAGACTGGAAGACCAGACTCCTCTTCAAAGGGCTGCAAGGGTTCTGAGCTGCGACTCCCACACAGCCTGAGCGGGTAAAGGTTCCCAGCCTCAGTCTCCCTAGGGTTGGCCCCAGCCATCCCTGGAGGCAGGCTCAAGACACCCCATCCATTTGCCAACAGATTTTGAGTGGGTTCTATGGGCCAAACTCTATTTGCATGTCTGTGCCCAGGACCATGGACACTCAACTAGTTCAGGCCTAGCTTAGAGCTCTCCTCTGTCATTGGTGCTGGTAGACACACACATGGTTATACTGGTACTCTCTCTAAGCATGCACACTACCTAGAAAACTGAATACCTTCCCAACATGTGACATATTATATCTCCTTACACCCAAAGATCTCAGAGGAGGTAGAACACACACACACACACACACACACACACACACACACACAGACTCATACTTGCATGAACTGTGGGGAAAATTACATATGGTCTCTAAAACAAGCATACATTTTTCCAAGGTAAATAAATCAATTTGCATGTAGGAGCAGAAATATATTAAATGGATAGAGGGAGTGATGCCCCCATATTAAGGGGAAAAAGGGTCTTTATTTACATACATAGAAAACACCTGTGGTGGCTAAAAGATGATATATGCACCAACGGGTAACCATAGAGCAAATGAATAGGTAGAGATGGACAAAGGTTGTCCCAGTTACACAGGTGAGGCCAGCTGCACTGGTCACATCCAGGTTAGCTTATCCAGCATCAGCTAGAGGCTGCCGTAGTTACAAGAAGCTACACCAAGGTTATGGAGCCTGTGTCCAAATCAGTTTCTTTCTGACACAACTTCATTTCCCCATGAAATCAAAACCCATAACAAGGCTTTCTTTCCCAGATGCAAATCAATCCATCTTCCAATATGGAGTTGGTGCAACACTCTATATTCATGATCTCATGGAATCTTCTCCATAGTCCTTGTGAAGAAAGAATTGCTACCATGTCCATTTTATAGAGGAGAAAACTGAGGTGATGCATGTTAAATGACTTGCCCAAGGTCACACTGATAGTAAGGGATGCTAAAATTCATGCCAAGCTATGCTCACCCCAGAACTCACATCTTCCCCCCTGAGCACTCTGCCCATCTAGGCTAAGCTCCTGGGCTGCATGCTGGCCTCCGCCCTGCACCCTCTTTCCTAGTGGATCTTTGCAGCTTTCTCTTGCCTCCATCCAGGGCTCCTAGACAAGGGTAGGTGCTGCTCATTTCCACAACTTATTCCCCTTCTTTGTCCCAAGACTAACCTGAGCAACACTCTTTGGGACTTTTGGGGGGAAACTAACTAAGGAAATAAACTGCTTCTTTCAGTTACAGCTTCATCCAAATCAGAAGGGAGTTATTAAAGGCAGTGACAGGACTAGGCCATTTGTAGTCACACAACCTGCCCTGTCTGAAAATGCACAACTGTACCAGCTTGGCACCACTTAGCTGCACAAATCATTGTGCATCTAATTAATGGAATGAAAACCCACAGCCTCCCTGCAATCCCACACATCAAAGGATGACACCAACACACCTCCCTCACACCGATCAACAGACTCGCCATGACTTTATTTGGATTTTTGGACAAGTTATGTAACTGCTCTATGTTTCAACATGGCTGCCGACGGACAGCAATGCTCTGGGCCACAGCAGAAAGCAAAAGGCATCAGGTTTTTGTTGGAACTCAGGGCCTCATGCTTGCTAGGTAAACACTCTACCGCTGAGCTACAGTCCTAGCCCATACATCGGTTTTTAGGCTGATTATGGATAGGAAAGTTCAAATCTCTGTATTCCAGCTACAACCTTCAGAAGATCAATGTCCCTTCAAAGTTCCAGGGAATCCAGACCTAATGCACCCACCCATAATTTTAGTTAAGAAGTGAGGATTTTAGCAGGGTACTGAATGATGATTCTTCCTTCTTAGACTGAAGCATAGCCTGTCTTCTGGGGACTTCATGACATGACTTCCTCATCTATCGCTGGTCTGTCTATCTCCTGGGAGTTTCTGGACTCCTGAAGGAGAGTCACAGCTTCTAAAGTGGCACATTTCTCCAGGGAAAATCTGGGGTTTTCCACACTCCCACAGGCCAGGACATGGCAAGGAGTCTCAAGCAGCCCACAGTCACCATCAGCTTTTCCCCAGAGTCACAGCTGATCGGCCCTTTACTAATATCCCCATGGATATGATTGCTGCAGATACTAATAATGCTGTCCATATTCTGAGTGCCAGTGCCAATAACACTCTGGGTATTATCACTGTGAACACCAGTAACTACTGCTGAGATTGTCTCCACTAATGCCAGCACATGCTGCAGTCATTGTCCTCGCTAATGCCCACCACCGTGACATTGTTAGAGCTGAAGAATAGGCCGCACTGTACCCAGAGGCAGGAACCGGAGCAGCTTCCTGGAGGGCAGAGAAGTCCCCAGCTTGCCCTCAGGATATGCCACTTTCAGGGAGATGCCACAGTGCCTGAGGCCAAAGGAGAACCAGTTTGGCAAGGGGCATCCAAGGTCCTCCTGGAGGGAGATGTGCCTGGCCTTCCATTCCCTCTAGAGTCTAGTCCCTGGACATGCATCCTCAGTCCCATCCCAACATTCCTCAGGCCCCCCACATCAGTTTCTCTGCAGTATTGGCCCAAGAGCTAAAGGACATACTGGGTGTCTGTGCAGCCTGTGCCCAAGGCTGCCTCCTGCGACCGGCCTGCCAGCTGCTTTGCTACCTTGGCCTGACTGCAGAGTTGGGCTACATCATCTTGACACATAATTATCTCCCCTATTCTTAATCATCTGAGCTGCTCCCTAATGCAAACTGGGCCTGGCTGCTTGGAGGCATCAGGAGTGGGGGAGGGGGAGGAGGGCTGCCACAGATCTACCTTTGCTCTTCTCTCCCTCCTCTCCCTTCCCACCTGGGTCCCATGGATCAAGAGCAGGGCAGTGGTCAGGAGAAGCTGGCCTCCCTCACAGTCCTGGCCTCCAGGGAAAGGACAGCTGTATCTGGCCTGGGGTTGGTCAAGAGAAGAGGGATTCAGGACAAAAGAACCCCTGCTAAAAAAGGATAGGGCCTCTGCTCCTTCTTGCCACCTGGCTAGGTAAGTGTTTAAGAGGAAACTTCAAGGTCCCCATTATCTCTCACTGAAGATTTCAACTGCTTCCTACACTGTCTTCCTGCCACCATCACTGTCACATTGCTGGGAAGAGAAGTTTCTCAAATCCAGCTGTGCTTCTGTCCTTCCTGCTCAGACACCTTCAGTGGCTACTCCTGCTTTCAGGAGAAAGGTCCTCCCTCCTTACACAGCTCAGGGTTGGCCTGCTCTCCTGCTACCTGAACCCACCTACCGAGCCTTACCTTGCACCATTTCCCTTCATGCCTGTTCATTCCTGCCAAAGCTGTCCTGCATTTGCTGGTGACAAGGTTTGCTCTATTAGTTAGAATTTCAGGCTGCCATTGTATGTAACATCTTCCTCAGCCATGGTCAAGGCCTCTCCTCAAAGAGCAGCCCTACCTGGCAGTGACCTCCCTCCCCACCTCCTTCCCACTCCCAGCTCCCAGGTGGCCAGACCTCCAACATGCACCATATCTGATGGACCTTTCTGTTCTTTGGACTCAGTGTTTATATGCCCCACTGGAAAATAAGCTCCTTAAGGACAAGAATCATATCTTCTTTTACTTGGGGATCCTCTGCACCAAGCTTTTCTTTCCGCTGATGTGCAGGAAGTTTCACTGAATTAAATTAACTCAGAACAATGAATGTGAGCAACTGCTCTGAGAGGACAGCACTCTGTCCTGGGCCTGCCAGGCCTAGCCCTGGGTGGCTAAAGCCTCAGGCCAGTGCCTTCCTACCCCAGCCTCCCTTCATGGGATGTCCGCAGAGGGCATGCATGCCCCCAACCTCAGGCCAAGGGGGTAACGGGGTAGGGTGGACAGAAGTGGTGCCTCCCTGGCCCCTGGACATCTCATACTCTGAACAACACAGGGGCTGGTAGCTAAAGAGAAACGCTTAGGGTTTGAGAGGCAGATTCTACCAAAGTACTCAGGGCGCCAGGGAGCTTGGCTAAGGCCTGAGTATGGGAAGTCCCAGGGAGAGCTGGGACTTAGGGCCTTTCACGCTGCCTCCCACTGCCCATCAGGGGCTGCCGCCAAAACAACCACAATGAAATTTAGTGAGTGGCAAAGGCCGTGGCAGCCAAATGGGTTTGGATATTTTGGAAGAAGGAGAAATAGAGCCAGACAAGCTGTTTCCCTGTGAAACGAGGCCATTAGGGCTTCTGGAAAGAGGCCAGCACCAGGTCATCACTGTCTTGCCAGGCCCCAGGCCTCTCCTACACTCTATCCCGTCTGCTGGAGGCCCGGCCTCACACGCTTTCTTCCCTCTGCCTGGGCCCAGGAAATCCAGGCTGTGGCCCCTGGAGTATCAGCTTTGTTCCTCTTCCCCATTCTTCACTCGCTCAAGGGCTTGTCTATGCTTGGGGTAACCACAGGACAAACTGTCCAAACAGTGCATTCTTGAGAGAAAGGGAGGTGTTGCTGGGTCAAGATGAAGAGACAAAGACATAAATTCGGACTTCGTGGGCTAATGGAATATATATGGTCACCCTTTATGCTCATCTTTGGAGGATTCTGTCTCAAAATTTCATGGGAGATTCCTTTAACTACTGCCTTCTACCAAAGCCAAGAGGTTACCACTTCCCCAGCTAGGACCATGAGAGAATTGGGGCAGGAAGCAGGCCTGAGACACTGGGCTCTCTGTTTGTCTGGACCTGTCAGTCCTGTGCCCTGGCCTTGTGCTTCAGAACAAAACCAGATGGTCACCAAAGGAACCCTATTACCACTTCATTTCAAGCTCACCCCTACTCTGTCCCTCCCTCCCTCCCTCCCTTCCTTCCTTCTTTCTTTCCTTCCTTCCCCCGCTGTTTCTCTTTATTCCCCTTCCCTTGAACTCCCAACCTGACAGCCTGGCTATTTCTGGAGTGCTCCAAGGGCATGAGGGGAAGGGCCAGCAAGAAAGTTGAGTGGTGTTTTCTCCCATGGAGAAGAAGAAAGGTCCCACGTCCAGCGACAGAAGTGGTTTTAATGAGGCAATGTCCTTGTGTTACAGAGAAAGGACACCAGGGTCAGCTGCACCTGCCATCATCCCATACCTTCTTATGGGTTGGGATCAAGTGAGGATAAAGTAGGCTGGCCTTTCATCCTTGGGTCAGAGACCAACTGTTCCCCATACCTCCAAAACCTTCCCTAGGTAAATGGTTCATGCCTTTCCTGAAACCCCACAGGGACAGCTGGGGTGAGTCTCAGCGGAAGGTGAGGCAGTCGGGGCTGAGCAGATGGTTAAGCTGGTGGCCCCACCAGTAACCTCCCTCTCTCTCTCCAGGAGCCAGCAGGGCAGTGAGGGGACCTGGGTTTTGCTACTAAAACTGATCTCACAGCAGAGCAGCTGCGAGGCCAGGCAGAAACCGGAGATCTGAGTCCAAGGACAAAGCATGAGAAGGGGAAGCCAAACCTCTTCCCTCCTCCCTACCTTCATCACGTTTCCTCTTCTCACCATTGGAGCGAGGAATCCCCAGGATCCCATTGATGGAGTAGGATCCCACTGGGTCATTGGAGGCGCTGGAAACAGGAGGGGAGGCCGTGCTGGGAACTGGGCGAGAGTAAGGAGGAAATGCCATCAGGATAGCAGTCGTGATCGTAGGCCAAAGCCCCAAGGCTGGGGGCAGAGAGAAGCAGAGGACAGAAGGAGGGATGAGGAACCCATATTCCCCTCTTCCTCTGAGGTTTAAGGGGAAAATGCGTTACACATACAGTTCAGGTTGTTATTACTTCTGTCCAACTTTAGTGGTGAGTAGTCAACCCAGGCCTTCTCTGCAGACCTGTGGGTTTCAGTGGGCGCCTCAAACTCTTTCCACCATGGATGGATGGTGTACAGGCCCAGGAATCACCAAGGCTGACTCTCTACAAGGTACCTTGTGGCCCTCTAGAAAGCACAGCTCTTGGGGTGCCTTCTGGCACAGTTCGTCCAATCTCCAGAGTTGGGAAAATCCTTCCAGACAAACCCCATTTCATTTTCCTTAGTCTCCAGGGCAGAGTCTTTACTAACTGTGATTTACAGCCTGGGGCTTTCTAAGAGCTCTCTGATTCTGTGGAGATACAGTATGGTCCTGAGGTTCCCAGGAGTACTCAGTTCTCTTTCCCAGTTACTCTGGTGTTAAAATCACTTGAGAAGTTCCTCAGTTCCCCCTCAGGCACAGCCTAGTGAGCACATTCACTCCACAGTAACCAGCTCAGGCCCAGCCCAGCCCCACCCTCCCTCCTAGCACAGGCTGTAACCCAGGTCTGGAAAACAAGGGTTCCTGCCAACTCTAGGAGGGCTGGGATCAGCCTTTTCTACTTCCTGCTGGTCAAGAAAAGGACAGCTGCCAAAGAGGCAGCAGGAAAAATTTAACCATATCCTAGTCCTCGAACCCCAGACCTCATCTATGGCCACAAGAACACAAATTGTCCACGGGCCAGAAAGGAGTCAGTCTATGTGTGTCGGGGGACAGGAGAGTGTCAGGAGGAGTTCTGGCAGGCCTGGGCCATGTCTATGAAAGACCCTAAGTGCAGGCAGAGAACTGAGGAGGCTGGAGAGAGGCAGAGAGCTACAAAGTAGATAAGATAGAGACAGAGATCAGGGACACAGGCAAAGAGAGAAGAGGCCATTAGGAGGGAAGGTGAGGAAGAGGGAAAGATCCAGAGCTAAACACAGAAGAAGAAAGGAGAGGAGAGAAAGGAAAACTCAGAGAGAGGAAAAAAGAGGAGAAGAGAGAAGGATAATTTTGAAAATTAAAAGCAAAAACAAAGATGGAATAAGAACGTAGACAAGAAAGAAAGAGGGACAGGTAGGGAGATAGAGTCACATAAATAAAAGATGACAGAGGAGAGGAAGAAGAAAAAGAAGAAGAAATGCTAGAAGAAAAATGCTGACGTAAGAGTGAGAAAGGAGGAAAAGGAGAACATAGACAGACTGAGGCAGGGTATCAGGTGGGAACAGAGACCAAGTGTAGTGAACTAATCTTATTTAGGAGACCCTGAGCCTCTAGGAGATGAAGAAGAGGAAGGTTTGGGAAACATGGCAGGTCCTGAACCTCACTGGAGGGGGCAGTTCCCAGGGCTGGTCTTTGTTTCCTGGCTTTCCCTTGATGGGGGTCAGGCTTCCCCCATTCCCTGAGCCCTCTTACCAATGGTATGGCCAGGGGTGGTCACTCCTGTCCCTGCCCCATCCGGCGTTGGGTGGAAAGGTTGCTGAACTTTGGTCCGGATGATCCTGCAACAGCATCACAACAGCATTATGAATCCTATGCCCATCTTGCTCTGACCAGCGCCAGTCCAGCCTGGCAGAGGGGCCCTCCCAAGCTCCTCAGCTCCATCCTTGCCTGTCTGCTCCTTGTACTCCTGCTCTCACCAACTGCATGAGTTTTCTCTTCTGTCATCTCTGTGGATCACACTACTATAGCTCTGGACGGAGGCTCTGCCACAAGCGTCATCTGAATTGTATCTTGATTTCTGGTAGCAAGGATTAGAGCACAGAGTATTCTCTCCTCCTGGAGGTTGGCAGAGCCAGGTGACTGGTTTTCTACCTTTCCCTCCTTAACCATATCAGTGCACTCTCTAGTACCAGAACTCCCTGAATCTGGAGAGCATTTTGGAGCTGGTTTTCCTTCTGGGAGCATATCATAGTCCTCCAGAGCCCAGGTGAGGTGGCATGTTTTATCGATATCCTGAAGTAAGGACAACAGGCAGGAAATGGCTGGGTAACAGGTAACCCTTTTGTTCCCAGAATTCCAAGGATACCACATGGTCCCTTTGCCAGATGTCAGGCCTGCACAACCTCTTCCTGAGCCCACTCACTGCTCTCAAACCAGCCAGAGCCTTGCCTCCACCTGGCTGACTGGCTCCATCACCTCTTTATCAGCCTGGCTGAGAAGACTGTTGCCCTCCTCACATACCCCAGGGGGCAGAGGGTCAAATCAAACAATCAGGGGCTGAAATGAGCCTATCTTTTGGTGATCTACAAAACTTGGGGCTCAATGATGCAAAAGACCAACTCAGGGGCCAGGACTGAGGACTCCATCTGTGGGTCCAATGAAAGGCCTGTGGATGCATGAAATCCATCACCTCATCACTTTTTCCCTAGTTCCCTCACATATAAGGGGGTTGTTCTTGCTCTGCATCCTCTGGCACTGACTGCCTGATCCTCTTGGGCTACTCAGCTTTCTTTGACTATAAATCTTCTCTCTCCAACTTTCTAGCATTAGGAGGAGGGGCCTTAACCCCATGGCCTGGTCTGGTCTACAGGATTGTTACAATCTCTTTCCCAGAAAGATAACACAATTCTAAGATGAATCAACAAGCAGAAGGAAGGGTGTTATATGAGGAGCTGGAGGAGGGCAGAAGTATAGCAGGGGAGCTAGGGGAACATGAGGCTTCAGGGGTTAATACCTACACCATTTATGGATACATAAAAGAGACAAGAGGAAATAAGGCTGAAAACTTGGATGCAATGATTAAAATAGTTATTTCCTACTTATTGAACATCTATTATGTGCTAATATTACACAATTTATATTACTTATATGTACCTGTTAAGTCTCACAGCAACCTCTGAAGTCAATATTGGGATCCTCATTTTGCAGATTGAAAACCGCTGACCAGGGTTACATAGCTTACTTAAGATCACACCATTGTCAGCTAGAGCAGAGTCCGAATTCAGTCTCCCAAACCTGTGTCTTTTGCTATTCTGTCATCCTTCCAACATGTGGGAGCCAGGTTTAGAGGGTCTCCAGCCATGAGTAATTTCTCAAACTAGAAATGACATGTAAAAACAATCCCAGGAAGGTGACATCTGGGCATGACATGATAAGGAGCTGGTCTTAGGAAAGAGAGGCAAGGATTTGCAAGACACTGTGAAGACAGGATGGACAGAATTTAGCAACTAACTGGAGGTAACCATGGCTCTAAAACCTCAGTGCTATGCCACTGGGAGCTCTGTGGTCCATGTCATTGTTAAAACAGGCTGCAGGGAGGTAACTGGTTTTGGAGGAAAGTGGTGATGTTTACCCTAGACATGCAGCATGTGAGGTGCACACATCCACACATTGCTGATGTGGCAGAAAGGGATTGGGGAGTCTGTTGGGGAAAGGAGTGCTGAGGGGAAGGAGAGGCCTCAGGATGGATACAGGTAGAACCTGGGCCTTGCAGGCAGCCTCCATGGAGAAGAATGTTTTAAGAATATAATTTGAGTTGGGGGTGTGGCTCCCTGGAAAATTACTTGCGCAGCTGGGTTTTATTTTATTTTTGGTGCTGGGTTCTATGCCCAGCACCAAAAATAGAATAAAATGGGGATTTGGTTGTTTGGGTGACCATTAGTGATCCTGGGGAGATCAGTAGTTTCGGCATAGTGACTGGAGTAGAGTCAGGTAGAATGAATGGAGGAGTGGTCAGGAGGAGAGGGAGGCAGTGAAAGGAGATACCTGTGTGGAAATCAGAGAATGGAACTGGCTACCAAGTAGAAGGAGAGGGTTTCAGGGTAGGAAAAACCTGAATAAGTTTGTGGGCTGAGGAAGAAGAACAAGTGAAGAGGGAGAGTCGGAAGTTGCCAGAGAGACTGTGCATGACAGAGGGCAAGGCAGAACAAGGAAGAGATGGAGTGAAGGGCACAGGGAGGAGTAAGCAAGAAACAGCATTCTTCCAGGTGGGCTCAAAAGCTTCAAAAATGAACTTCCGTGGCTTTTATTTCTCAGCAAAGCTGAGAGTTAGGAGAAGGTTTGGAGCCTAAACACAATAGGAAAGATCAGAAAGTAGGTGAGGGCAGCATAGGCTGATCTAATAAGAAAAGTCTAGAAGGATGCTGAGCAGCTCAGAGAAGCTGCCGCAGATTCATTGCAGCACAAATGTCTAGAGCCTCCCAGATCCTGCGGGTGGCTCTACTTGAGAACTGATAGGCTCTGGACTAAGGGAGTCCCAGGGTTGGGGCGGGGTGAGACAGATAACTGGACGGGCTTGTGGAGTTTCTGTCTTTGTTACCCAGAGCCTCTGACCCCTGGGGCACTGGTGCAGATTTAGCTGAGGCAGCAAGTGATGGAAAATCACTACTCCCTGACAGCGGCTTGGTGCAGGGGAGAGGACTTAGGCAGGGTGCCTGCTGCGAGTTACTAATGTTCTTGGTGTCTATCTATGACCCCAAGCAGTAGGCCCTTGCCAGTCCCCAGAGCTAATCACAGGGAATTTAAGAATTAGAATAGTGGAAATCTGAAGGTCATCCAGTGCACTCCTGTATCCTGTATACAACCCAGTAACTCATAGGAATGGCACTAGGGCTGAAAGCAAGAGGTAAAGCAGGGTGGCTGCCTGACATTTCTCCTCCCCATGCCTCCTCCTCTTCCTCCAATTCTTTTCCATCCTTGGCTCCACAAGTCATCAAGACATGCCAATGTCCTCAATGGCCCCAGGAAGGTTTATCCAGAAAGGTCAAGTCCCAGGATATGGATCCTTGGAGGATGTGGACAGGATCCTGGAAGGCCCAGCTAGGAGGTGTCATTTCCCATTTTCATGGAGAGACAGGGTATAGTCCCCCACTTCCTTTTCTAGTAGGCTTTCCTTCATAGGAAGCTCTTTCCTTTCCATTTCAGATGAGGGCTTGCTTTTCCCAGGGTTTTGACTTGTGCCTAGTGCAGGGCTTCTGGGCACTCAGAGTCTCCCACACTCACAAGGATGGGAGTACAGCAAGGGAATTTGCACAATGAGCTCAGTTTACCTAAAGTGGAATACCAGCTGTATTACTTATTGCCTGGAAAACTCAGTTGTTTCTTATTCACTTATCAGTAAAATAAGATAATACTACTAGGCACTTTCTGGGACTACAATAAGAATAATCTACGAAAAGTGTTTAATATGATGGCTGACCCCGTATATGATAGCCATGACAATAGTGCCCAATAGTATTATTATTTCTATAGGTGACCCCTAGGCCTGGCTGCTTTCAATTTAGGGGCTGAGCCAGCTGCAGGCAGGAGACCTTCCCATGCAATATATTCCAGTTTGGTCAATGCTGCAAGCTACAAGACCTGGGGAAGAGTACTGTGAAGACAGGAAACAGCAGCAGCTGAGGCCACAGGCTGACCCCAAAAGATGTTGCACAGAAAGACTTTCAGACAGAGTAGGGACCAGATAAAGCCCCATTTGGGGATACGAGGAGGGATCCACAGAGGACCAAAGAGATGATAGGGGTTTGAGGCAGAGCTTTAGAGGAAAGAATGGTGAGGCAGGTACAGGTGGTGAGGTCACTTTCTCTTTGGTTCCCAGGGGCCTCCACCTCCAACTACTTGGAGATCAAAACAAATTGCATGGGCTATGTGAGTCAGAATGGAAGCCGTGAGTGAGTCTTCAGCAACAGTCTGTTACACTCATGAATGAGGAGAGACATTCTCCTCCACCTCCAGGAAAGCATGTGGAGACCCCCCCAATGCTCTTTTACTTCTACCCCCTCTTCCTGTTCCTCTCATTGCTTCCTATTTCTCTCTCTCTCTCTCTTTCCCTCTTTCTCTGCCACTTTCTCACTTTCCCTCTCTTTGTCCATCTGTCCAGTCCTTGCACCCTGAAGTCCCACTATGGCTGTGTGAGTTTATTGATTCCTGGGAGCTGGGGGAAAGCAGGAGGCAGGGCTGGGGTGCAGGCTCAGGGATGGAAATAGAAGGCTATAAATTATTTGTGACAGGAAAGCAATAGTGGCAGAGTGCTGAGCACAAGTCCTGTGTCACTATTAGATTCCTTTTAGCCTGATGACACTGTAAAAAAGGTTAAGTGTCTGCTGGAATCGTACACCTGGGGGGCCGGGGCAGCCTGGGAGCAGAACAAGCCACTGAGAGCAGGTATATCAATTCTCCAGGCCAATAATATTCCTCTCATTGATCGCCACGCAAAGTTCAAAAATCTCATTACAGCCAGGCAGACCGGGAACTTTTTACAAATCAATAGAATGATATAATGTATGTATACTTAGTACAAATGTATCTATTCATCTATCCATCCATCCACAGTCTGCCTCAGGGTTTTCAAGTTAACCTACCCATCATATTATGTTATGTTATGTATGATATTATATTGCATTATATTATATGGTAATAAATGGTGTGCAAAAACTTCCCCTGAGGTGGAGACAAGAAGAGGTCCTATTAGCATTGAGGCGACCTCAGACAGCTCACCTTGGCAGGAGTGAGGTGGCAGCATTTCCAGGACTACGTTGGTCAAGATTTCTAGGAGTGATGC